CCGCTTGAGCCACATCCCCAGCCCCACCTGACTAGTTCTTGCCAATGGAATGCAAGTAGAAACCATGTGACCMACTTCCAGAACTATCCCTTCAAAACCTCCCACCATCCTCCCCCACCTGCCAGTTGGATGTTGCTGCTCAAAGCATATTAAAGGCCACGTTGCTGAAATCTCTCAGCCTGAATAACTACATGGAACAGAACCCTATCATAAGTATATTGGATATTAAATAAGCAAGGAATAAACTTGTATTATGCTGTCATTGAAACTGGAGGACTAATTTGTTCCAAAACTTGCCATTCCTTACCTAGAACAGAGGATCTCTGTTGTGACTGCACTGAGCGGGATGCTGTTGGCATTCAGAGATGCCTCAGAGAAGGCAATCTGCTTTGTTCCCTCCTTCCAGTGTGTGACTTGCTATATATTTACTTTTAGGTTAAATTCAGTAACCCCTACCCCAAATGCTTATGCTTTTGGCAATGTTTCTATGTGAAACATGCAGAAAGTCTTTTAAAATGTAAGATAAAGAGCTACCCTAAAACAAAAAGCTTATGTTTTTTGTTTCTGTAATTTCTTCTTTCCRTCCCTGAAAATGCAATGCAGACTTAGYCACCTGCAAGCTGAAGCATTTGTATGAAGGTAACAGAGATAACATCAAGACACACCAGGTCTGTTCATGCAATTATGCATCATTTCATAAAGAAAGAGAGAGAGAATGAATGAATGTGTGTGTGTGTGTGAGTGTGTGTGTGTGTCCCTCCCAATTTCTTAGAAGTTTAAAATCAAGTCATTCCTGATTTCATCCATGCATTTCAGTAGGCTATGGTGAAACTCAAAACCTTATAGAGAAATAAATCTTTTTTCAGATCCCAGAAATTTCAGTGGTGAGAAATTTTAAGCTGATCCATTGGGGATTAAATCCATTTTTTACMCCTGGGGTAGAGTATATTATAGAGAATAAAAGAGTTTTAAGAATAGTGCTTTCAAATATTCTGTTTTCTATGAAGTCTAAGATGCATAGAATTTTARAGCTCCTCCTTAAAAATAGTTCAGTTACCCTTCTTGCCCTGAGGATAAAGTATAAACTTCTAAGCAGGATTTATATGTTCTTGTTCAGGCTTCTGCTTACATATCTACTCTATGCTAGCATCACAATGCACCCAGCCACTCTGAGCTCCTTCTGTTTCTGTAGGATCTGCATCCTCCCTTACCTCCAGCCTTTGCACACACAAGCTCTGGTACTCTGCTTCTCCCTCCCACTCCCTTTCCTTTGATTACTTTTATTCAGTCTTTAGGACTCAACTTAGATGTCATTTCTTCCACACACCTTATTCCAACTGCCCTTCAAAGCCCAGTTGGGTGAACTTCCTGTGTCCGCCATCAACACCTTATTCTGTATCAGAAGACTTAGCACATAAAATTGAAGTTCAGTGGTCAATGTCCTTTGCATTGCAGTCTCTATAAGGGCAGCATGAATCTTTTTAATTAGATTAAACCTCATATCCAACATAGTACATGAGATATAGTATTACTCAGAAAATGTTAACTGAATGTTTCTGAATCTAGAACAATCCTTATGTACTTTTGAGGTCTACCATGACATATGGAATATGATGTTACTGACCCACTAACCAAAGGACATTTGTCTTGAATTTTCTTATCACCAGGATTACTGGAGGTCAAAGGTAAAAGAGTAGGCATAAATCATGAGTACTTTGTATAGTAAACAATTATAATCAGTGGTCAAATTCATGACCCCAAATTCATGCTCTAACTAATTGAAATAAGACAATAGAGACTGACTCTGTAAAAAATGGACCCCAAAATGGTATAAATATAATTCAAGAAACAAACGCCCTCTGACTTGGATAATTGACATTCTGTTTCTTTCAATCTGGAGATTGAGGGACAATGATCCGCAGCAGTGGCAGCAATGCAGCCCCTCCGCTCCCTGCCCACACAACCCTGCCCAGCAGCACACGCACCACTTTGGCGCTCCCTCTGGCTTGATCCACACCACTTCTGACCTTAGTGTTTTGCTTTCTCCACGTTTGTTCTTGAGGCTAATCTCCACATCCTCAAATGGTCTTGGATTTCTAATCATGTTCTTCCACATTCCCTTCTTGATTTAGGCTCCACTCTTGCCGAATCACAGTTAGTGTCAAGCCAAACTATCCTCCACATTCCCAGGTCTGAGACCTCTGGCTGCCCCATCCCAAACATCATGAGGGCAATGCTGTTGGCTGACTCAAGGCCCCATGACTGGGTCCTCCAATACCAGGGCTTCCAGAAGGATTTAGCACACAGAGGTATGGGAGGAGGTGCTCAGTGAGGAGAGGGCCTGTCCGTATCTCCGGAACACACAAGTACAGAAGAACTAGAGAGGCTATAGAAAATGGCAGCGTGAAGGTGGGAGTTTTCTAAGACTGCAGACCATGAAATAGGAATAGAAAAGCCCTTAGCTCCGCACCAGAACGTCCTCAGTTCAGCAGTATGTTCTCATCACAGAGCTGGATGAAGACAGCTTATACAGAAGGAGTGTTTGGCAGGGTTAGCTGAACACAAAGTATTATTGAGAATCCTAAATGGGACAATTAGCAGGAATTTTTAAACCAAAAGCATCAGTGTTTTTGGCTTACACTGATATTATATGTACAAATACTCAGCAATCCATGGCTGGTTTTTACCTTGTGTGACTGATAGTACTGGGAGGCGCCAATTCCACCTTGTTCCTCTGCAGTCCAGAGCACCAGGCGCAGAGTCCTCTTTGGACGGAGCCCTAGGAAAAATAAAGGAAGAATCAGTGCTTCAGTTGATTATGACTTTCTAAAAATGGCACTGTGGAGGCAGTGAGGGGAAATCAGAGGCACTCCTCTCTTGCTGGTGTGGCTGCCTGCTTCTGTGTATGGCTGACATAGCAGAGGAGCAGTTTTGGTACTGAGCTCCAGGACAGGTTAATGGCAAAACTTGTTGTGACAAATTCAGTCTTATAAGCCAAGAAGGAAAGCCTCTGATCACAGCCTTAACTAGATATCCTGCCCTGCAGGGCCCAACAGGTGTTCAAGTTCAGTGAGATATTAGGTCATATCTAGAAGATGCAGTTAGGAGGAGCCTAGTAGATCTTGGGATCTTCCAGAAATCTTAAATTAAAATCAAGTTTTGCTCTATTTCAAGATAAGGTGTGTTGGAGATTACTTCTTAGTTTGAATCTACAAGTATAGCTAGCTTCTCCTGCTACCTCCAGTAATGCAATAACTGAGAMGCAGATGAAACATTTATGGTTACCCATGACCAATTTTTTTCTTCTACTTGGAAATATAAGGTCATTCCCTTAAGGTCAATGAAAATTAACTGAATGAGGATGACAGTTATTCACCTTATTGCTTCACCAACAGCTTGGTGGAAATTTCATTGATAAACAAATTTATGATAAATTTAATAAACAAATTTATATAGACAGTCCCTGATTTATGATGGTGCCACTTGCTAGTTTTTGACCTTAGGATAGCACAACAGCAAGCACACATTCAGTAGAAAATGAACTTTGATTGTCAAAGTTTGATATCTATGTCCAGTCCACATTATATAGCATGATCCTTTCTTGTGATGCTGGGCAGCAAAAGAGAGCCAGTCAGCCACAGACTCACCAGGGGAACAACTGGTCCTCTGAAGTGTGCTGTGTTACGGAGCTTGGGTGTTGGTAGGATGAGGTATGTTAAACGCATTTTTGACTTGTGATGTTTTCACCTTTGGATGGGTTTATCAGGATGTAACCCCATCATAAGTCAAGGAGCCTTTGTATCTTGAAGTTTTTAAGGCTAGTGGCAGATTGCTGTGTCTAGAACCATTTTTGAGTGACTCTGTCTATTCAGTAAAATTTAACTACAAGAAAGGTCTTTTCCAAACTTAAAAACACAGGGTAAAAYGGTATGTGAAAAGTGCCACTTTTGTCAGCAAGAATTAAAATCTGTCCTGATTCATACCTGATCATGTCATTTTTGAGAAATAGGAATGGCAGAACAAGTGAAGCAGGATTTAAATCTTAACTAAGAGGATTCATCTTCCTGCCTCTTCACGGGAGGAGCCTTTGGGAAAGATTGAAATGTACTTTGAGTGGCCCTGAGATGGTCATGCTACAAATCTCAGGAATAACCACCTACATGCACCACCTGGGGGCACAGCCTTGGAAAGAAGGAGGCAGCGGAGCAGTCGCAGCCTGGATGACAAGTGCCCCTGAGACTGGGAACTCCATCCTCCCTCCGCCAGGCACTGACAAGCATTCTCCTTTCACAAGCCTAACACCAAGGAACTGAGAGGAGAAGGAGTTGCATTCTCCACTGGAATATAGGGTGAAGTCACTTTTCACTCAAGCATTTTAAYATCACCACAAGACCACAGGTGAGGACGTAGGCTGACCTGAGTCCCAGGTAAAATCTAGACAAGCAATTTCCACATACAATTTCTCAACAAATTCTACCGGCATTTCCACTTAAATCCATCTGGAACCCAACTTCTTACCTGCACTCTGCTYCACTCCAAGTCCTTACTTCCTTCTGCTTGGATTATTGCGCTGCCTCCCCACAGCTCTTCCCTCTCTGCAGGTGATGCTGCACATTATGGTGACAGGTCCTTTGCAAAGCCTAAGCTACGGCATTTCATGTCTCTGCTCAGAACCTCCCATAACCAAAATGGAAGCTTCTGGAAGGCTGGGTTTTATGCTTTTTAACTCACTGAAACGTCCCTGGTCCCCAGATTGTCTGACACACATTAAGTATTTATTAAGTGGCACTGGAGGAAGGAATGAGTGCAAAGCTTGATGTACTGATTAGAATAAAACTTAAACCACTTTTTCCGGCCTCATTTAAAACTCTTCTGATAGTGCATTTCCAGGCAGGCATTATATTTGAAAAAGGTAGACAGATTTGGGGAACCTCCTATCATTAGGTGATAACTAGATAACTAGTGGGAAATTGACCTGCCTGAACCTAGTCTCCTTATCTGACAAGTGGAAATAATCTTTGCCTACACCATAACTCTTACCTGGGGTTGTTTTGAGGAGTAAATGAGATAGGATGTCATAATATATAAGACAACCCTGTGGCTGCCATGTAATCAACATTTACTAATGAACCACAAAACAATGTAATGGTGTTCAGGCGCACTTTCAACCCCACAGTAAAGAAGGGATATGAACATACCCAGAGAGGAAATTCATCCAAAGGCTTTTAAGTGCGTAGGGCAGAAGAATCCCAGAGTATACCCACTGCCTGCTCCATGGAGTCCAACTACCCGCTCAGATTCATGCACAAGCTTAAACTCTTGTCTGAGAAAGAAATCTAATCTTAAAGATAGATGTCAACCTTTGGTTTCTCTAAAGGAAATATGCTTAGAATTCATTTGTATCAAATGACATTTTGCTTGCAACATAGGAAAAAGAAGTAAGAAAGAATAAAGTGATATTGTTTATATGCTGCAAGTAAAAATTCTAAACACTTTTAAATCTGTAAGAGAAGGGGGAAAGATGCACTTTCTTTTTACATCTCTCTGCATATCCCAGCAAAATAGTATCAAATTATTAAAATGGCCAGATGCTATGACACATATCTGTAATCCCAGTGACTCAGGAGGCTGAGGCAGGAGGACCACAAGTTTGAGGCCAGCCCAGACAACTTAGCAAGATCCTGTCTCAAAGTAAAAAATAAAAAGGGCTGGGGATATAGCTCAGTGGTAAACATCCCTGGTTTCAACCCCCAGTATAAGGAAAAATCATCAAAATGATGGAGTTCTCTTAAGAATGAACAGCATTGGCTACAGAGAATTCACTTTTTAAAAGCAAATGCTCTGATTCACCTTRTAGATTGGGTGTGCTATTCAGAGTCATTAGAGATAGGATTAGTCTCCTTCACACTTCAAATTAACCAGATGGCCCACAATATCACATTAAGATAATAAAGAAGCAATCAGTGTGAATTGAGAGATGCTAAGGCCTCAGAAAGAAGCATAGCTGGCCCTAAAATGATCAAGAGCCTTTTTCGAGTTCTTTACATATTCTAGATATTAGTCATCTGTAGGAAGAGTAGCTGTCTCCTATTCTGTAGGTGCTTCTTTGCATTCTCATTTCCTTTGCTGTGCAGAAGTGTTTTAGTGTGATGCCATCCCATTTATTGATTCTTGGCATTATTTTCTGAGCTGCTGAGGAAGTATCTGTCGATATCTGTTGGAATGCTGCCCCTGTGTTCTCCCCCATCAAGCCCTGGTGAAGGTCAGTTCCCATCAGATGGWACATTAGCACCTATTCACAAAGCGAAGGGTCCCCAAGAGAGATGAGGAACCCAGTATTTAGCAAACACCTAACTGAATCCAAAGTCTCCTTTCACTCTGATAATCAGATGGTCTTTAAACCTAAGAGAAATGATGGGATTTCATTCAATGAAAGACCAGACCCTGAACCTAGTGTGGCATTTGGGTCCCTAGGCCATCTAAGACCCTTAGAATGTCTTTGAGTATACAGAATGCATTKCCCTGCAAGAAAAAACACAGATCTCATCCATCCTGCAGGAAAATGGATGGTTGTTTTCAGTGTAAAATGCTCCCTCACCCCAACATCTAGCATGTTCAAATCCAAATAAACAGAAGCAGGCTCCACAMGTTTAAAGTGAGGGCCAGCCAGAATTATTATTTTCTGGATGAGGTTAAAGGCTAAATACATCTGAAAACAATAAAATATATAAATATAAAATTATATTTATATAACTATAGATRTATTTTTTTTCTTTCCACATTTTTATTGGTGCATTATAGCTGTACATATTGATGGGATTTGTTGTTACACATTCGTACATGCACACAATATAACGATATAATTTGGTCAACATATTTGTCATTTTTAAGTGATAGAACTTACTGTGCTTCTCAAATCCAAACTAGTTTTAGAATTCATGAATTTGAAGTACATAAAATATCAGCAGCAACAATTACAGGAATAAAATGACAGCAGGAGAAGCAACATGACAAACTGCTATGAGGTCAAATGCAGAGAGTGCATTTGGTGGTGGAACGGGGGTACAAGTGAATAGCCCAGTCATGATCCTTGTCTCCAACTCTGGCCCTGGCTTGGGGGATGCAGCTGAAGTCCAAAGCAAGCATATGAAAGAAAGTTCTAGAACTGGAGGTAAGTGGGAATTACTGGCTAGGAGACAAGTCCTACTGAAGTTGCAGCAGAGGATAGGCAAATTGTTTTCCTATAGATTTAAAGAAACTGCCCATAGATCCCCTGACCTCCTAGAATTTCAATTATGACTTCCAGATAGCGAAAAAACAGTTTACAACATCATAGTTCTTCTCTAAAAGAACAAAAACTATCAGTAATGTGTCTGAACTTTGTTTAAATTTTTTGGTTTATGAAATGTGATATACATGCATTTCATTTTCATTTCATTGCAGAGAGTAATAATGCTAAGGGGGAAAGAGTGCCTATGAGAAAAGATGAAATAAATTGTTTTGACTTTTTTCCATTATTTGCAAATTTAAAGACAAGAAGGCTGAGAGATGATGATCATTAAGCTAATCAATTGAAAAGGTCAGTTGACTTATGTTTGCACCAGGAGAAGGGCAAAACAAAATAAACTTGACTTTCAGCAGAAGAACTCAGATTAATCCAAACACGTAAATGGCTTTTCCCAAATCATGACCTCTAAGACACACTATTTGTTAGCAGTGTCTTGATCCCAGCATCCAACCACTACTTAGTTTCTCTAGAACTACAAATAAGTTTCCCCT